TTGAATAGAGATGTAACTGAGTTAAAAATTCAGTGAATAAACTTAAATATGAATACAATTGAAACTGAGCAAAGTTGTAATTGGCTACTGTTGAATTTGAGTAAGGTTGTAACTGATTAAAGTTCTACCTGAAGGCAAATAATATTGAATAAAGTTGAATCAGAGTAAAGATTTAAATGAATAAAGCTGTGACTGAATGAAGATGATTTTGAATAAAAATGTAATTGAGTGCAGATGTCGTTGATGGCTATGAGTAGAGATTTTATGAGTAGACCTGTAACACAGCCACTTTACAAACGTCCCATGAAATAAAAATGCAATTTTTGTACTAAAAAAATTTTTTTCTCAGTTTTCAATACTTTTTCCCAAACGTTCATTAAAAAACAATAATAGATCATTAAAATTGGGGTATTTTAATTATTGTAGAAGTTATAAGTATTTTGGCATCATTTATCCAAACATTGTTAACTTCGGTATGAGTTGAAATAGAGAGTTAAAAATTTACATGGAAACTTCTTTTTGCATCTATAATAATATATTAAAAAATCAAAAAAATCGAAGGAGGGCTCTCAGAAATCATCGTTAAATTAATATGAAATAACCCTTATATGTTGATTTATTATCTACTATCAATAAAATAGTATTTATTGAAAATTTCAAACTCTTAACAGCCGGTCCCTACGATTGCAGCTTTATATTTCTCTCCTAAACAAAGAAGAATTTTGAAAAAAACGCTCTACTACGTAATAGATTTCTTTAATTATCTATTCCGTAGCAGAGCACTTTTTTCAAAATTCTCATTCGTTTAAAAGATAAACATAAAACTGCAATAGCTTCAAAATCATGAGTGCAAAAAAATAGTACCATTTTTCACAGTGAGTGCGACGCGAGAAAAAGAAGGGACCGGCTGTTAACAAAAAAATGTTACAGTGAGAAATACAACAAAGTAGTATAACGTCAATATTGAGAGTGGATTGAACATAAATAAACATAATATATATTAGATAAACATGAAGTTTGATAAAAGAATAAGAAAAGTTCATAAGAGAGTAAAAAATTTCGATGCAATAAAATTATTGAAAATAAAACGAAAAAAAAAAAAGAAACTGAACAGCCAGACGACAGTTGGCCAATTTTAATATTTATAAGTTTATATCTGTCGTTCTATTTTACCGTGCTGTCATTTCATTGGAAGAAAATTAAAGACGATGTTCACGGATGAAGATACAGAATGCGAAATGGAAAGGATGTTTGTCGTATGTATGAAGAAAGGTTCAAGTTAAAGTTTGTTTGGTTACTAAACTTTAGTGACAGAATCGAAAAATTTTTGAGAAGAATCAGTGTTAAGATATTTTTAGCCGGATAAAAACATGTTTTCGTTTTTTTGCATCCTAATGGAAAATTTCTATCAAATCAGAAGTCTAAATTGTTTTTTCGGATGATGTTTTTATAATTTTAGTAGAATTGGTTTTTAAATATTTTAAGTTTAATTCTCAGTTGAATAGAATAAATTTTATAGGTACTGGAAGAAATCAGTTAACGAGGGAAATAACTCAATCTAATTTTATTTTACGAGCAATCAAACTAACTGATAACAAGTAATCAAAAATTTATTTCGGTTGACCGTTTACCATTTAATAACTTTTTGTTTCAGTAAATTGAATAACTGTTTGTATCGATTGAAAAAAGTTCTGTATGGTTTATTTTGGATTATAAATTTAAGCTATTGAAAAAAATAAATAGTGTTTTATAAAGTTTATTACAGAAAACTTCAGAGAAAATTGTTTTTGTACATCACGATTTTAAATGGATGAGCAGACTAAAAATCACCGACAAACGTATAAAGCTAATTTTTTTTTTAATTACTTGATAAGAATGGTGATATATATGATAAAGATACTGAAAAGAATGAAACTTTATGAGTAAATAAAATTTTCAATATAAAAATCACGTCTCAATAATTTGCATTTGACGCATACGAAACACTTATCAATTTTTATCTATATCCTCTAGTCTATCCGCTTAAAAGTTTTATAACTGGAAAATAACATACACGCAATAAATTTCCTGAGCTTCCCTACCAGATGAAGTTCGGAAATTGGTTTTTCACTATTTGAAGGTAATGCTTTTTGTAATGCCTTACACCTCTTCCATGCGAATTGCCTTTTAACTCTTATCTGCATCCCGAAATAACTTGCGAGAAAATCTTAGGTTACCAGTTCGTAAAGCTATTTTCTGATAACCTGTAACTGTCTTTGAATTCGGAATACAGTTTTAAAAAAATGATTGTGAATAACATTTGCTTTTCTTATGTTTTGTACTGTTATGTGAAGATATAGTTCCAATATCAGTTGTGTGGTAAAAAAAAAGTTTGAATATTGAGCTGCAAATCTAAATCTTCTTTCATGACAAAAATATGCGCTTAAATTCAAATTTTTTATGGATTTTTGTTAACTTATGTAGATATAAAATAAACATAAAAATTCAATTGATTAATTACAAATTGAAGTCATCACCGAATGAGCATTCTAATCAAATTAAAAAAAAATACATTTTTTTTATCATTTAATGATTTTTCAACATTAGATGATCTACTAAATATTTGTGAACAGTTAATAGATCATTTATTAAATGTAATTTATTAACAGTTAACAAATAGTTTATTAAATACAATTTTTTTACTGTCAATGAACTTTTGTTTAGACCCTTGAAAAAGAAAGAAGAGTAAAAATGCTACTTGGAAACTATGTATAACCCCATAACTTCAATAGATAATAGAACTCTATTAGATTAAATAGGTCAATAGTTTTATTTTAAACATATAATAAAACATTAATTTCAATGAATCATAAAAATTTTTTTTTTTCGAGTTAAAAATTATTAGTGTATCGCATTTTTTTTATATAAAAGGTCTTGACATTACATATTTACGAAGGGCTTTCAAATGCGTAAACAAGGTATTTACTCCAAAAAAATTTATTATAAATTAAAAAACAATCAGTTATATTTAATAAATGAACATAATGTGTCCAAATAAATAAATTCATCAATAGTTAATAAATTCTTTTACCAGTGTGAAAACAAAAATCATTTTCTATCCCATCATTTAAATTGAAAAGTAATTTTCAATTTAAAAATGAAATGTTCATCTTTATATTTGAAAAGTTGAAACCCTTGCGAAAGTTGCTTTTTATCTATATACATTAAGTTTGCAAAAATTGATAAAAGCGTAATCATTTTAGCTCAATTTTTTTTTTGTATAAAACTTTCATCGAAAAAAACCCTTAGATTTCATTTGTTAAAAAATTAATGTTAAAGTTTTTGACTCTAAAAGTGATCCAATTATTCCTTATTCCTCGGTTTTATTGAAACAGTGCAAGTTTTCTGCAAACCGGCAATAAAGTAAATGAATTTCCTGAATTTTTTATTACTGAAAAATGTCTAGAGTCTTGTTTTTACAGACTTTTTTATGGCAATTTAAAATAATACTGTATTCATACTACATTCGTAAGATTATGAGGTAATATATGCCTCGTAAATATTTTATTACCAAACTCCACGAGATAACGTCATCCAGTTATTTAAAAAACAAAAATAAAATTCTAATCAGACATACTTTTGTTATCACGTAACTGCGAAAATAAAATATAATAAACTTTGTATTAAATTAAAAAATAAATTAATAGTATGTATAAGGTAAAAGCCCCAATATTAGATGATCATGTACCAATATATTCACAAATATAGGTATACAAATACATGGAGTGATCATATACTGGTACATGATCATCTATTGGAGCTTTTACCTTAATAATAAATATTTTTTTGAATTCTGAAATTGTTTAAAATAGAATTTCACTTCCAATTATAGAGTAAAATAAGTTCGAGTTTACTTTTGACGACTTCCATAATCTAGTCTGAATTATTCTGATATAATTCATGTTTAAATTATTCTGCTTCTTAATTTGTAATTATAATTGTTAATGTAATTTACTTGTGACATGTACGTTACTATATTATATTTTATCGTAAATGGTAGTGTTTTTAATTTAGATTTACTGTAAGCTCTTTATCTAACGTAGTGATAAGATAAATTTTAAATTTATAGTGGGCTTTCATCTCATTTATTTTTAATATAATTAAGACATATGATATACTCTACTTGGTTGGTTGTGATCATCATTAATAATAATTACGCATAGTAATACATATAATAATACCTGATGGCAGTGATAGTTTTCAATATTTTTTATGATCGTAAAATGATCATATTATTTAAAAGTTTTTGGTAAAACAATAACTAGAGGTTTAATAAACTATCCCCGAACTCAAATTTATTGTACTATAAAGTGTTTTAATGTGAGTAATAAAAAGTTTTCGAACAGTTTTGAACAGACGCCATTACATCAATAACGTTCGTTCCTGCTCGCTTACGCGTCAAGGAACATTAGATGCAGTGACATGCCATGTACATTTTTATGTTTAGCAGTTATTTATTTTTTGCAGAGTGCGGGTGTATTACTTTTAATGGTTTTAAATATTTTTTTAAGCGATTAAATAAGAAAAAAAAAATTGCATTGTTTAAATATCTTAGAAATGTGACCTAGTAGTTCAATTTTTTTTTATTTAAAAATTTATCAATTTTAAATATCGAAATGTTGATTGATAAATTGAAAAAAACTAATTTTACACTATCTAGACTGACAAAACGTCTTTTTTTTTTAAATAAAAACATTCGAAAAAGTTCTACATTAAAAAATAAATAAAGAAATTTTGGTAGTATTTTTTTTTTTACTAAAGAAACTTTTGATAAATTTACCATCAAAACTTTTTTTCTGACAGCCTAATAATTACTCAGCAAAAATGCTTTATTAAAAATTAAAAAATTCTAAACTGAGTATTCATACAAAATTTAGAAGAAAATTGATTAAAATAGATATATAATATAAACTTTTTAAATAAATTAAAATAAAATATATATTTAATGAATAATTAAAACTTCAGTTGAATTGTCTGGCTGTCAGTAGCTAAAATAAATATTTAAAACACATTAAAATGTGCATCAAATATCAGTTTTCTATAGATTAAAATCGAGATAACTTGACGGTCGAAATATGGAAATAATTGTAAAATATGCATTAATTTTCATCTGGTGTCTAGATTAATCAAACAATCGAAATATATGAGTAAATAAATTACCAGCTGTACTATATCTCTATGTCCATGGGCAGATGCTAGATGCAGAGGAGTATCATCACCCCGGTTCGTCGCATTTATTCTGGCTCCCCTGCTGACAAGCAATTCAGCAAGTTTTGAGTGGCCTTCTTTTGCACACCAATGAAGTGGACTGAATCCATGATCATCTCTATAACAAAATTTCATATTTTATTCATTAGTTTCAACTATTACTATTTTATAATTTTATAAAATTTTTTGAATAAATATTAATTTTTAAATTATGTAAAAAAACAAAGATTATTAAATTCACCCATTACATAAATCTTTACTTTTCCTACAAATTTTATAATAATTATTGTATTTATTAAATATTCAAATTTAAAAATAATAGTACTTATATAGAAAATAGCAGTCATCTGACAATTTTTTTTCAAGTACAAGGTAATTGAACCAATAAATAAAAACAAAAAAACAATCTCTCTTAGATTAAAAAATTGTCAATTAATTACTTATGAAGTATTTATTCTAAATGATTATGATAACAGTTATGATTTGGTTTACGTCTAGGAAATCAATAATAATAAAATAATTCACAGGTAGTCAGAACATTAAATAAAAACGGAATTCTGTTTTGATTTTTGTTGCAACTATCCGTAAATTATTTCATGATTATAACATTTTTTTATACGTTGATGACATTTGACTAATTTTCATTAAAAAAAAATTTTTTTCAAATGTATAAAAGTTTTTAAAATCATAATCAATTTGAAAATTACTAATAAAGAATAGTACTAAATACTAATATTTTACCGAAATTTTATGAACTCAATGGAAAAAAAAACATTTATGAAATTTAACACTAAAAAAATAACGTGGAATTTTACTATTTATATAAAGAATTCTTTTGAATGTTTTTTTTTTTAATTTTAACACAACAAAAGTTTATATTAAAAAATTATTTATAACAAAATTTAGTGGCCTCCAATTTTTACTTGCACTAGAACAACATTTTCAACTTGTTCAATTAAAATGTATTCTTTTTTCATGTTACTAACAATTGGGCATGGAATTTAAAGAATTATTTTATGATCAAATCAAATGCTAGTAAATTAAATTTAAAAAAAAAATAACCAATTTTTGATAATTTTAGATTCGTATTGTAAAATACATCTACTTTACACACGTAATTTGTTCATATAATATTTTCACTTTTTTTTTTTTTTCAATAACATAAAACGTGGATGAAATGTTTATTTAAAATAAAGAATTGTCAGATGTCTGATAATTTATAATAAATAAAATATCTTGCTTCTCGCAGTCAATAATCCCCTAAAAATGTTGAATAAACAAAATTAATAAAAACAAAAATAAAATAACAGTAATAAAAGTGATAAAAGTTTATATCACCATATAAGGAGAATTGACATACCCTTGGTTCATGTCATGCTCAGTATCATCGAGCCATACACGAACTTGCATAGCATTTCCTTCACGACACCATTGAAATATATCCTCCATCGTTAATTATTATTTAATAAATATAAAAATATGAACACTTTCAATTTATTAATTAAATAAATGAGTCAAAAACAATTATTGTATGTATTATGTGCTAGATGTATATAGTAGATGTTGAAGCCTGATTACAGTGATCCCAATGATGCTAGTCGTCACGTACTAAATATAACTCATATTCCATTGAACAACATTGAGGTGTGAGTAGACTTCCAAGTTTTAAAAATATATGTCAAAAACTTATTTTTTAATTTATTAATATTCCATTAAATAATATAACTGTCATAAACTTGTAATATAAAAAAAATATATATATTTATATAAAACACTGTATCGTTGACACTTAAAAACACTTGTAAAATTATGAAATAAATATCAATTTGTTTATTATATTTTTCCAAGGCAGAAAAATAATAAATGTAGGTTGTTTTTTGTAGGCGGCTACAAACTATTCTTGATGCTGGTTGATGCCGATGAGTATACTAGATACTGGATTGTTAAGTACTTTGGAGGAAAAGTAACGAAATGCTGGATATTTGTATACATTTAAATTTATTAAACTATGTATATTAATGAACGTTGACGTAATTCTAAAATCGTCTTGTGTATGTACTTTTACTAGGCATATTATATTATAACACTACTACTCACTTTATTATTTTTATTTTTTCAATGATGATGTCAGCTGACTAAACGGTAAGGAAGAAAATTGACTTAGCAATCGCGAGTATTTTTTAAAAATAGCGCTATATATATGACTATGTAACAGCGCTAAAATATGGCCGACTTATAAATTTACTATGGAAATTAGTCTTTTATATTGTACTTTTTTAAAGTATATAGGCATCAGAGCTTTGAGAAAAATTAACTTTTAATTTTTTTTTTTTTTATATTTTAATATTTACATGAAGAGCAAAAATTAACAACTGGCTAAAAACTTTTTGTGATCTACTAGAGTTTTATGTAAAAATAATCTAATTATACTTTAAAATGTTCAGTTTATATATACATGGACTTTACAAGTTATAATTTATTGATATCATTTTTCCTCCAGAATAATTTGTCAAATTATTAAAGAATTTTAAAATTTTCAAGATCAAAATTTAATATCGAGTACATTTTTTTAATTTGCGGATATCTAAATCTAATTCACCACTGTGGAGATAAACATAACAAATAAGATCGAAATTGATGAATCTACTTAGCTGTACGGAGATGAACCTAAAATTTACACTGCTCCTTGAATATGAACTATGGGATGTACGGATATCACAGTTGATCTGAGCAGATATATGTGCATTACAAATTTAATTCCTTTAAATCTTTGTATATTTTGTAGATACGTGTTCATTTTTCTCGAGATGAATATTGATGTCAACCAAAGCAGTTTATGTACTTTTGTAGTCACTCGGTTTTATTGTAGCAGGTGAAAAAAGGATGAAGAAATATTTTTTACGGCGCATTAATTTTCAAATTTTCAAAGCAAATAATATTTAAATAAATTTCGCAGTAACGGAGAAATAATTGACAATCAAATAACGAAATGTATTTTTGGGATCCCGACACTGAATCTTCCGAAGACTATAATTTTCATGAAGCAATGCTAGAAGTTGAACATACAATTGCAGTTAGAAACTTAGTTACGAGTTTCAAACCAAAAGGGCTTGTGCAATTTTAACTTGGGTAAAAACTTTGGTTTAATAAAACTTTTACCCGAAATTAAAAGTACACTTTAAATAGTATGTATGAGTGGAAATATATAAAATAAATTTTGAGAAGTACGCAAGATAGTATTTTTTTTTCTCATTATTCTTGTACTCAGCAAGTTTATGAATAGTACAAACAACAAAAGTTTCAATTACCAAAGTTCAAATTTTTAAAGGCAAATATAAATTTCTATATAGATAAAAAGAGTTCATAGAACTATTAACCATCAATTAAGATTGCACAATATTATTTAACAATCTGTTGTTACCTTGTCAATGAAAGTATTTGAATTGAAAAAAAAAAAATTATTTAATAATTAGCAAGTTGACTATTATTACCAGTTAATACCAAGTTACTATAAGTAAAAATCATATTTTAATCACATTTTACAACGTGTTGAGTATTTGCGATAGTAAGAAAAAATATTAAATTTAAACTTTTAATTTAAAAATTAAGTTTTTCAAGTGAATAAAAACTTGCAAGTTTTTTTATTGACGAAAGTTCAAACCTAATTCTCCACTTCATTAAAATTTTTTCTGTACTAATATATAAAGTGGTCCCGTCTCAGGGAGATAAACGTTGGTTACGTTAAAAAAAAAATATAATTACTTATTTTTTTCTAGCCGGGTGAAAATGTAATTATTTTCTAAAAGTAAATCTAACATAATAAAATTATTAATAAATTCATTAAAGTTATTTTTTTAACATTAAAAATTATTTATTTAAATAAACAAAATAATAAGATGAATGAAGTAATGATCACGGAAATAATTAAAAAAATAATACAATAAAAAAGTTTTTTACATAGTTTTTTTTTTTTATATAAAATAAAAATATATTAGATAAGTAATTTGTTAATTAAAGAAGTACTACTGCAAATATGAGATGAATTTTTAATTACAGTATAAAAAATTTTTCATTTTTTTTTTTTTGACTGAATTGTATGAAATTTAGTCTTTAGCGATAAATTAAATTTCTTGGGCTGAATAAATGTCTCAAATTAATATTTAAAATTTATTATCAATAGTACGCATGAATATTGATAGATTGTCATTAAAAATCAACAGCGGATGCAACGTTAACAATGAAAAAACATTATTGAGACATTTACATAAATAATGGAATAAAAAAATAAATTATTAAATTTAAAATGAGTTATTTCGCTAAAAAAGGCACCCAATATAATATATTTGATATTAAGTAATAAAATACATCGGTGTTTGATGCAAATACAATACTGAAATAACCATATTCAATGTAATAATAATAAGTATATACAATTAATGATTTATTGTTAAATGTTTTGTTGTAGTTGTTATTATAATTTTTTTTATCTTTTTTTTTTTTTTTTCTTTAAGTACTTTGATATAAAATGGGACTTTAACAGTGGTTTCATACATACTTAAAAAATATATTAATAAATATCTAAAGAGAATAGTTATGACTGGGTTGTTATTATTAAAAAATTACAAATATATAAATAGGTACTATTTATAAAATGATAAAATATTCATAATCTTTTGTTAAAAGTAAAAAAAATATTACCGATTAAATATTAATTAATAACTGTTATGATAAATGACGACAAAAAATATATAAAATTTAGTAGCAATATTTAGTCAGTAATTTTTTTTTCATAAAAAGATTATCGAATATTTCGTCATTCCGTACCAATCTATGATTTGTGCTCTCGTAAATAAAACAAATAAAAATATTCATCTATAACATTAAGATAAAAGCAAATAAAAATAGTACGAAATTAATATAAAAATTTAATAGTTTCATAATTTAGTAATTGATTTTGTTTTTTTTTTTTTTATCTTTTGGTACTCGTTGCCTAAATCAAATAAAATTATCGTGCCGACCACTGTCCAAAAGATATCAATTATGATATCTTGGCAGCGGACATTGTTAATAAAAATATGAAAAAATAAAAAAAAAATAAATTTTATGACTCACACAGATGACTCGCTTGTAACTAAATATGCAAATATGGTTACAAATCAATTACTCGATTAGTTTTAAAAAACTATCAATTGCAATTCTAGTGAGTCATTGTTTACCGAGTGTGTGTGTCTTAAGATTGGCTTAAATATTACAGTTAATATATAATATGTGTATATAAATTAACGTTCAAGCCATTCTAAAACAATTCACACGTGCCTTAAAAATAACCAATTAAAAAAAAAAATAATAAAACATTAAATAAAATAAAATAATTAAAATATTTGGCTTTTGCACTTACGGGCCAGTGTTATAGTTTGTTGTCATTTGTTTTAAATCTACAGTAATAGAAATACAACTATACTTTTTGCCACTATTTTAAATTAATAATATTCAATTAGTTTACAGATTTATTGACATATCCGCATCATACGGTGACGTAATATTAACGTCTGTGGAAGAAGTTGATGAAGTAGAAGCTGGCACTGGTGCTGCATGAGAACTCGTTGGTGACTGAAGCGGCGTTGAAGTGTTGTTTGGTGGATGAGATGAAGTTGGACTTTCTAACGTTGATTTCCAGTGGCTTCTTTCACTGCTGTCTACTCCGTCGTCAGATACTATTGAAATGTCCGCAATTATTCCGCTTTCTGTAAACATTTATTGTTTCAAATTACTTGTGTTGCTTTAAATACTTACAATGTATATTATTTTATTTTTACACGATCGAAATTGTTTTTACCAATTTATTAAAATTTATTTTTTTCACTACAATTAAATAAACATCAAGTGACTTACCAACACTACACTGGCTATTAAGAGTAGTACTACGATGATGAAGACGTGGACTAGCATCTAAGCCTAGATGCAAAGCAGTCTGTGGACCTCCGCTGCTTCCTCCACTACTTGAAGACGAGCTCACTGATATTACACTATTGGGTCTACGACTACAGCGGCTAGAGTCATCGGATATTGATACTGCTATTGAATTTCTAAACCTCGGAGCTTTAGAAAAAATATAAATAAACAAAATTAATATCTACAGGTTCAGCAAGTTCATAAATTTCATGCAATATTTACTTTTTGACAGCTGAGCTACGCTGATTGATCTGTCGTTTATTTGATCCGCGCTGGGTCGAATGTCTAGACAAGGTTTATTTCCAATTCCCATACTTGACATTTCTGCAAGGCGCACTTCTATACATATAAAAAAAAAATCAGTCCATTGATTGTTAATTTGAAATAATCAAAGATAATAATTGTAACAATTTTATAAAATTAATGTAAGCTTTAAATTAATAAAATAATTTATCGATTATATTATTTACCTCTGTTACGAAGCGCCTGCTTCCAAAGAAGATTGCTCAACTCTTCAGTCCATGTTTTCTTAATATCCTCACTGGCGCATTGTAGAGTATAAGTGTCTCCGGGTTTTCTTTTTCTAAACCAAATTTCAAATTTAGTCGGTGAATCAGCAATAACAGCCGTCAAGCCTATATCCGTGGTTTTGATGCTGTGCTTGTAAATATAAATATCTAGATTCTAAAACAAATTATTATTTTGATAACTATAGATAAATAAATTTTATTAGCTATAATAATTCAAATATTTACTTTGCGATCAGGAAATCTTCGAGCTTTACTAAACAGAATTAAATCTTCAAACAGAAAAACTTGGCGTAAACATTTTTTTCCTTTGCCCTGCCAGACTAAAAATTCATTTTGCCGCAAAAGCCGACCCTGTTCTTTAACATTAACATCGCAATCACGGAGTGAATCCATTGCCAGAAGGTCATTACCATGACGTAATTGAAAACGAACCATCTGTTCAGCAGCTCTTAGATCAGCTTCACCCTCAACAATAGGTTTTACACCATCGTGATCCTGGTCTTGATTATCTTTTTCATTTTTTCCAGAGAGTTGTTCGGACAAATCAGTACCCGCTTTCACTAGCTGCTGAAGAAGAAGCGCATACTTTCCCATACGTTGCACAGGTTTTAATAAGTAACTTGCTAAATCCATTTTATCACCGAGTTCGAGTTGTTTTGCTTTAAAAAATCTCGTACCGTACTCTGCCATTAACGAGTCTGAGTTTGGTTTATTTTTGTTATACAAGGCATAAAGATAAAACTTGTTTTCCTGTTATAAAAATAAAAGTCACGTTTAGTGGTGGAATTTTTTTTTTTTTTCTTTTTAACAAAAAGTATTAAAGGTTTACTGATTATTTATCTACGGCTTAAATAGAAATAAATGTCTACTAAATATGAAGAAAAAAAAAAAAAACTCACGTGTCTTAAAAAGCATTGGCCAACCATCATAGGACTGTGCTCACACTGTTCCAATTCACGAAGGAAATGTTGACTGTGAAATTCGTATATTTTTTCAACATTACCAAAGATAACATTTCTCTGACCTCTCATCGCTTGAGGAATATCTTCTCTCACAAGTTCAGGAACATAATTCTTAAACAAATATTTTACAAATAAATTTCAAATCAAAGTATATTATCTTTGTAATTTTTCTCTTATTTTATTTTTTTAAATAAATGTAAACAGGATGCATTACTAAGTTGTCAAGTTAAATATTTGTTTTTAATTATAAATTTATACTTGTAAAATGAACAATGGAAGATAGTATATCATTTATTTATTTTTACTTTACCAAAGTATTTACTAAACTATAAATATCAATATAATAGAAATAAAGTAATTAATTTTTACTTGAAATTATTATTTTTGCACAAATTTTCTCGAAACTATAAAATTTTATTTTTGAAGATATTTTATATATAGAATATTTATTTTTGGAATAAAAACTGATTTAGGGTCGAAATGATCAAAAAATATTTTTAGAAAATTAGTCAAATTAAGGTTTTTCATAGATTGGAGATTATGTCAACAATAAAAAATTCAATTTTCATTTCACTTAACTCGATATTTTCGAGAAACTGGTTTTTTCACATTATTCAATAATCATAATATATATACAGTCGATAGATGCAAAAACAATCATTTGAAATTTCTAAGTTAAAAAATTTCACACAAAGATTATCTAATTTTATAAATAATATTATTATTAAAAAAACAGATACATTAAAGAATTTAAAAAATAGTTATTCTGCTACATGTATGGAAAGTTAAGAATTTTTTCCGGCTTCAATTTTTGTGATTTCAAGTTTTAAAAATAAATTTTTTACATGAATCTAATTTTTTATCGATTTTTTTAGCGAGTAATTAAATATAGAAAAAAATAATAAATATTAAAATAAAATTACCTCAATAATGTATTCTAAAGACTTAACATAATCTCTCTCAGTTTGTATCATCTCTCGCATGATAAGCAAAATAGTCCTGCAACAAAACAAAAATAAATAAAACAATCTTCAACAAAAATTCTTGAATTACAAAAATAATATAAAAAAAAATAAGAATAAGTACTTCTTAGCCTTCATTCCAGCGGGAGCGATACTCGGTGACCTCTGAAGATGAGAATTAACCGGAGGCTTGTTGAGTCTCCGACCAGCAGGACTTCTCGGGGGCGTATCAAGATCCTGTTGTGTGTTTTCACCGGTCTCAGCAATATTGTCCAGCTGGGAACGTGGTTCACCGGTAGCTGGACTGTTATCCGTGGGACAACTTCCAGGATTGCTGTCATCATCCCAAGAGTTATATTCAGCCGCGGACTCGGAAGCTGCTGCAAAAGATCGTCTGAGCGATGGACTCTGGGGCGCAGAACCACTTCTCAGTTCCGCCAACTCAAGACACTTGTTTCTTATGCTCTTGCATTGTTCAATAAGAGTCTCATTTCCAAGTTTCTCAGCCAGACTCATCATCTCATCAAGATGCTCCACTGGCATCGGATGCGTGTGGAACCCACGTAATCCAGAGTGTTTCGCCGCGATTCTCGCCTCGTGTGCCCACTCCTGAGCCCGGTCTTGAAGCAAACAACATCTTGAAGTGTCTTCCAAGTACTCTCGGCGATCTTCCAACCTGGTACCAAAGTCCCTCAAGTGTTCTCTTAGCGAATGCGCTAAATCACCAAGTCCACTGGTACCCGCTGCCTCTGCTAGGTCGCTACCCTTGTCCAGATGTCTCTGTAATTAAAATACACATATTTAGTAATTATACCAGCAAACAATAGATCAAGTGCATCATTGTTCTCCAGACAATAAAAATAATAAAAAACACCACGTATAAGCTTTACCAAACATGGATAGGTAGATTTCAATTTATATTACGAGACATAAAGTATTTCAACAGAGTGAACTTAAAATTTAAGTTACAAATTTTTAAGAAAATATTTTTTATTATTTTATTAAATTTTTTTTGTATTTCAATGTTTCTTATGATTTTAAATATGTTGTAAGCTAATGCTACATTAAAATTTTTTTTTAATTAATTAAATTTTTATACATTCTTTGCAACTTAAGTATAACAGTAACAGTTTGTTAATATTCCAATTGTCTGTAAAGGGATCAAGACTTTGAGAAAATGAGAGTAGTGCACTGAGATAAGAAAAGCTACTTTTGGAGTAAATCAAGAAAAATTGTTTAGTTCAAAATTTTTCTGCTCAATTCTCAATAATGAAACTCGCGAAAATAATTTTTTTCGTTCAAGAGTTTTTTTCTTGAATCAAATTAATTAATTTTTTTTTTTTAATTAATTACTAATTATTATCTAGTAGAATGCCTTTGAAAATTTATCTAATAAATACTAATTTTGTTTTAAATTATTTTAATATTTAATTAAAAATTAAAATTAATGAGCTAAAATTAAAATTTGTTTCATTGTTATTTTCTTTGTTACTGATCAAGTAAAAGTCAACTAATAATTCAGAATTTTCCAGTTAATTATACAGAATTGAAATATATCCAACGGTAAAAAAAATAAAATGATGAATAATAATGATAAAAGATAAATATAGGGGATGGTCATGGACGATTGGATAGGTCATTTACATTACATGGTGGAATCCTCGAATCGTCATTGATCTTCCGCCACATGGCTTTCTCATACAGGCATCGCTTATTTATTTCAACAAGTTCCAGGTTCTTACTTTCATCGAGGGGCCTTACATATTACTCTCAACATTAACTCAACTCTTTATCTTGGTAATGTGGTTGGACACACTCTCGCGTGTAAAACTCTCGAGTGGTACAGAGGGCCCGTAAGGCCTTTACGAGCTAATGTAAAAGGTGAAGGAGTAGAAAGATATAGAGGCAGTCGCCGTGAGCCAGGTTGCTGACCAGAACGGAATGTGAGTCAAGAAAGTTGTAGGTACTATTACTATTACATACACTTACACTTATGCTTTCGTTTATTATATTTCTTAAGTCATCTTCATTATTGTCATTTCTCATCATTATCATGATCACAGTTTTGAGGATTTTGAGGATTGTCCTCTACTGTAGGCCTAGACTCAAAAATTTTACGGTTCGACGATATTACTTTTCTTTATTTTTTTATATTTCTTCTTTAAAATTTCCTTTATTTTATTCATTAATATTTTATCTGTATTTAAATATTATAATTCAAAGTTGAGCTCAAAGTTTGGCTATCGTCCAAATCAGAGTAATTTCTATATGCTATAAAAAATGTCATCTCAGTTTGAAATGTAATTAAATAGTTATCACTTATTGGTAAAGATAAAAAAAACTTAATTAATTTATATATAAAAGTTAAAGGATATAAATTTTGACTTGTAATTTTTGACGAAAATATGAGCGATAAAAAAAATAAATAGAAACATATGTTACAAAAAATTTAATATTCTTCAAAAAAGATATCTTATCATTTTGTCATATCTTCAACATTCAACCCATAATTTTCATTTTATTCTGTTGAAATTTTTTTACTTCTAAGACTATAATTTTTTTTCCAGTGTACGTTTGAAATCTTTAAAACAAATAATAAAAAGGCAACTTTCAGCAGGGTAAGAAAGGAAGAAAAGAAGATGCACTGCAATCAACAAATTGTCAGTTTCGCAAATAAAACAAGCTAAGAGAGTAGTAGACGGTAGACATTAGACCAAATGGTTGCGAATAGCTGGATATAGTTTATGTAAAAAGAAATTTACGGCATTCACTCCAGTGCTCTAGAGTTGTTATAATACGAACTGTGCAGCAGTTTGGGTCCGAACAATTTGTATGAGCATTGCGAGTAATATAATGCATGGCATCTGTTCTTGTCTGGATTTTCTCGTTTCACTCTTAAGCCTTTTGTATCAGTACCCTGTTGCTGTGCTGCTGGTTTGCTTTTTTTATTTATTTGCATTGCTGTATTGCTTTATCCTTTTATTCTTATGCTCGCATAAACGCACGAGGGCGTGAACTCGAGGCGCCAACGCCGCTACCTTGAAATAGCTAAACGCCAGTCGTGCGCTATGCTGTTAAGATCTTTATGTACAATATCTTTACATATATATCTACAAATAACAATAATATTATATATAAGAATATATGTATTCATACTAATGTTTGTAATGCGAAAAAATATGAGCATAATTCTTGGCATCAACAGTACTACGCTTATTGTCTGCACGATGTACACAGATAGAAGAAATTACCATACATAACAGAAAATTTTTTTTGTTTTTGTGCAAGTTTGAGTTAAAATTACAATTTTTATCTTGAAGATTCAAGATGTTGTAACTTGAAAAATTTAATATTACCATGCTTAAAAAAAAAAAAATTCTTTTTTTAGGAAAATGATGTACTAAAATTAATATTTAATTTTAAATAATTATAAAATGTAAAATAGTTTTTTAACATTTATTTTGGTGAAGAAAGTGTTAAAAAAGCTTTTTTTCAGCATCATTAAATAATGTTGGCTAGTACATTTCAAATTACGCACGGTTACCGATGTGCCATCTATGCACGTCATTTCCCATACTACTAATATCAAAACAGAAAGGAAGAAATAAAAAAATTTTATATTAGCACCAAGTTTTTCACTGGTTACTGTTAAAAATAATTAGATTGTCAGAAAGAAAATATTTTAATTAAAATTATAGACACCATAAATACCAATATGGAATTTTGAATATTTTAAAAGGTCACTCAACCAATTTTGTTTAGATTTAGAGAAATGTGGGATACAATAAAAAGTTTTTAGAGACCTCAAATTGAATTATTCTTTATACTGCATCCAGTCGGGAATAAATTAATGACATTATTTTGTGTTCTTTTGGCACAGAAGCTTGGTGCGCAATCAAATCTCAGAAACCCGAGTAAAAATGAAATTATTATTTTTTAACTTTGTATTAAATTTACAGAAGTTACCCGCGGTATTGATTTGGTTCCAAATAATTTTACGTAAAACTTTGAATTATTTTTCTGAATTGAATTGAATGTAATTTGAAAAAAAGGAAAATTATTTAAATAATTAAAATATTCAATTGATAAACAAATGGTCGTAATGATTAGTAAAAAAAATAATCAATTAGATACTTATAAGTTATTTAGTTTTAAAATTTTTTAAATAAGTAATAAATTTATTTCATTAATGGAGAGTAGCTGTTAGTGAAATGTTTACATTAACAGTTTCTTTTTTGCAAATGAATTATTTATTTCACGTAATTGAATCATTTAAAGTAATTGCTTAATAGGAATTGATTAGTATAATTAATTTCTTAAAATGAACAAACCGGTTTTAAACAATTTTAACATAAATTTGATTTACTTTTTCAACATCGTGTTAAAATAGCAAAGATTGTGTGTAAAAAAAGAGTTTGACACAAATGAAATGTATGTGTTAATTTTACGAAGGATTTATTACTTTATACTTCAAACTTGAATAACTTGGAGAATTTTCACTTAAAATGTACATATGTAATAATAGATAAAGAATTCTAAAATAACGTATCTACAACCAGAGCATATAATTTTCGTTATGCAACTGACTACAAGTCATGCTCGTGTTAAAGTTAAAAAAAAATTTCCTTATACGGACTGATGAGCAATTTGCAATTACTTTTATTCATCAGAATTATATGATTAAATATGTACCAGCTATAAATTTATTTGATTCATTATTTTGTTCTGTTTTCATTGAAAATATACTGACGGCGTGTTAAGAAATTTCATGTTTATTTTTATCCTTTTTTTATACCAAGAATTTGCTTCTTTAAATATTTTGTACGCATGCGAGTTAGCGGTGAACTCAAAGTTGTGAGTTTAAATCCAATTCAAGGTATTTTTTATTTTTATTTGTATAAACAGACATTTTTTTATCGGAGTAGAAATAAATTGTTGGGAAAACACCAGTATATTTTTAAATAATTAATTATTTTTTTTTTTTTTTTTTTTTAGTTATTATTTTTAATAATAAAGTATTTTTAAGCGAATAATCTGCGGTTCATAGGTATAGGGATTTAAATACATGACAGCACAAAATTTAAAAATGGCGCAGTGTTATTTAAAAAACGAACAAAAAGGATTCGTCATATTATATCGCGTGCTTATATAGGAGCTAATGCGCCAAGAATGGATATTAAAGTCAACTCTTGTCTTCTATTTTTATAAGCTATTCTTAACTAATTGTTTCTCATTTAAAAAAATACTCTCCAACTAAAACGTATATAGAGAAACTGAGTGTATATATTTACGTGCGCGTATTAAATATTTCTGCAATGTATACATGGGCTGAGAATCCAGGTCGAATACCTTAAAAGTGCTTTAACGTTTACGTAAGCTTTTGTGTTTTCTTATTGACATCATTTTAAATGAAACTAAATCCATTAAAAATTGCTCTTATTTTACAACACCCGGGAATGGAATCCTGGAACTCGACATATCAATCGTGACCAGTCGTGACCAGGGTTACAAATGATACATTAAAATAATTAATTAGTATTCAGATTGATTTTTAATTTCAAACACTGATTTCAATAATAATTCATTACAAAATAAATAATCACCTCGATTTTTAAATATTGAATGAAAAATAATTTTCTACTTTTTATTTCTAAGTAATTCAAAAATAAATAATCAATTTTTTATTTTTACCCCTATGTTTAAAATCTATTTTTATGTTTTTAAGCTGGAATTAAACTCTTCTTTTTATTATTTCTGAATTACAAAAAAAAAAAAAATCCTGAACATTAATTTCAAAATAATAATAAAGTAAAATTTTACAAATTTTCAACTCGATCTTTTTCAAATTTTTAACAACATACTGATAAAAAAAATTAAATCGATTCAAGAACAAAGTCTTATAGAAGAATATCGTATTGAAAACTTTTTAATTAAGAAAGTTTATTTCCAAAATTTTTTGCTCAATTCAATATAATAAAATTCTTTAAAAATATTTTATTTGGTTCAAAATTTTCCTTTAGAATCAATTTATTTATAAGTTAATTATTTTGGTTAAAATTTCATCAAAAAGTCATTTCTTAATCCTTAGTTCAAAATTTCTTCATTAAAAAATCTGTAACTCTGGTTCTCTCATTAGAATCTTCAATGTTTTTCATCTTTTTCCTAAAATGAAATCAAACAATCACACCTTAATTATCCTCTGCACTGAAATAACTCACTCTCGTAATTAATTACCGATAATTCCAAGCATTCATTAAAAAAAAAACTTACAGGCTCGGAGGTAGATCTAAGATTGATCCTGCGTCGCTTAAGAATTCTCGCGCGTTCGCGGTCCCTTCTCGTGGATTTTTCACAGATCCTACGCGGTAGAGGAAATGCCGATGCTGGGGGCGTCGACTGGGTTGGGGTCACCGTGACAAGACTCAGTGCATCAACCTCTAGGGGTCGAAGACCAAGAAGGACACACTCGTTATCGTCTTCAGTATTAACATTATAACCATTGGCATCAACATTACCTAACCATTTTCTATTACTATGACTATTTTTATTTTTACAATACTTTTCATCACTAAATACCAAATCACAATCCCCGTGACTGTCCAACTTAACTTCATACTTTAGCGGAACAATACTGTCCACAACGTCGTAAGACTCGTCATAACTCAAGTGTGATGTCAGAACTTTCTTCAATTTATCCGGAAACAATTTTACAAATATCGAAGTGCCTTTAATGTCTGCCTCCACCGGCAGTCCAATTGAAGATGATCGCGATAATTTATTTTTACTCTTTTGCTTGTTCAGCGAATTTGTTTTTGTCGCACGTGATCGTCTTTTTTCCGCTTCCTCGCTGACTTTGTATGTGTACGCCGATGGAATTTCGGTAAAACTCGTAATCGGCACTTCCATAGGATTTTTCTCTGATGCTGAGCTGTCATTGTTGGGACGATTGTCACCAACAGTAATGCTACTGATAACGTCATTATCACTGGTTACTTCAGATTTACGACGAAACGAAAGTAAACGGCAACTGCCGTTATTATCACTCTCTTCCTCTGTTATCAACATTCAGAATGGTAAGCACATTTAATTTCTTCATTTATTTATTACATTTTTTCAAGTCTGTCATTGTTGTATTGACATTATTAAGGAATTTTGATTTTTATCCACTCGTAATTATTCTTATTATTATTGCTATTATAATCAATTTTTTCAATTCTTACAGATCACTCACTAGTACTCTGGAAAGTGAAAGTAATCTTCTCCCTTTGGAAAGTCATCAGTTACAGGTCATTGTGTTTGATCATCTTCACTGTTAGCTTCTAACTTCTAATTCAATTTTTTAAATTATTCCTCAATTTTTTTTTACCAAAAAATTCTTTAGAACTTTATCAGGTATAACAACAATTTTTAACTAGCACTTTTATTTGTTTATGTTTAAAATTTTGATAACTTATTTCAAAGTAACACCTCGTAAATATAATAATAATCAATTTGAATAATTAAACGGTGTAAGTAATTTTAATGAAACTATGTATGTTATTATTAATTATAATTATAGTTTAATTTAATAAAATTGTAGAAAATAACCGTCGTATAGATACGAATAGTATGGAATGGAAGAGTTCGGCACGAACGCTGTTGGCCTACTGCCGAGATCGTACCGACGCTCCAATGCCGTGTGCGTTTTACGTTCCCCGCTTTACTAACTTGTAAGTTAAGTCGATTCGTTCAATCCGTAATGTATTATATATGGACATATTTCTATGCATGTATGTATGTACAATAGTATTAGCACTTAATGTAATAACTTGGGTAATTTTCCCTCTAACCCTCTCTTTACTGGTTTATAGATTTTTTTAAATAATAAATTATGCTTTGTTTTTAATAGCTTGTGTTACATAATTTTTTATGTACTGATAACTGATTTTAAAATTGTACGCACATTTTATTATTTTTTTTTTTTATTTATTATATTATAAATATTGAATAATAATTTTTTTTTGTTTTAGGGAAGAAATCGGTGAAAAATCCAACAAGATTTAATTCAATAATTAATTTATTGGTTTACAAACTTTGATTATGTATTAGCTGGATGGACGCGCAAAAAAAAAGAGTTTACTTCGATAAAGAATCATATTTTCTTCTTGATTTCTTTCTTTAACAAAAACGTAAAAGTTGCGTTCATTTGAAAAGTTTGATTTATGGAAAAATTTCAAAAATTGTTTTTTGTTTCAAAGGAAATTTTTTACCTTCTTGGATAAATTTTAATTTTAGCTTAAGAAAATTCAAATCTGGCTAAAATTATTATCAAGGATCTATAATAGCAGTTCAATTATTTTTTTCCAATTTTTATAATACATTTTTCTCTTAAACTTTTAAAAGTACTTAGATTTTATATTAAATATTTTTTATTTGATTAACTTTATAAATAATAGATAATTAATTGAAAAAATATTATTAAATTATAAACTTCTAATTTTAAACTTGAGTCAATTTATATTTATAAGAACTATTTCATATTATTCATGAATCAGCAATATACTTAAAACAACTCACATTTACACATATAGATAAAAAAAAACATACCAAGTTATAATTACAATGAAATTCTGAACCAACTACATTATTTTAAAAATAATTTTGCGTAATTTTAGTAACTATTATATACTAAATGGCAAAATAATCAAAATTATTATATAGCTAATTATTTTTTGATATAAAATTAAAATTAAATATTTAGTTAACATCACTGACTACTTCTATAAAATGTAAAAATCTTCAAATTAATGTTTGACAGCTGATTAAGCTGTAGTAATTGATTAATGTCATGTCGAGATGTTTTTATAATAAAATTCTGTAAGTAAAATTAACTATGATTGAATAATTGTCATGTTCTGTGTTAAAGCTATGTGATAATTACACCAAGAAGAAAAACCATTATTAAAGAGTAGTAATTCTTTCAAGAATCTTTTAAAATAATTTTTTTTTTTAATTAGTTGCAGATTTATTCTAACAAGATTTATCTTTTACAGCATAATTTTTCACATCAATAAATTCTTGGAATAAAAACATGATTCTGATAAAAAAAATTAACTTAATTGAGAAATATTGTTTTGTAAATATTTTGCTCTGTGTCTAAACTGATAAATTATATAAATCTATTTGTGGGATCTTTAAAAGACGCTTTAAGACTTGGAGTGTAGTTTTTATAAAGTTTTTATCATTTTACGAATATATCTGATAATAGAAACTCTAAAAGTTCTTTAGAGTTGAAATCAAACTTTTAGCATAAATTGTTTCCGTTCTTGATAAATAAATGGTCGGTAGACTACTGAAGATAAAAATACTAGAATAAATCGTCCGAGAAAATTTTATAGTAAAAATATTAATAAATTGATTTACCTAGCCAAATATTAAAATGATAAATTGTTGTAATTTTTTACAAATAAAAATTTTGTTAATTAATTCTAGAGATAATAAATAATCAAGAACAAATAGTATATTACACACCTAGGGAAGTAAAGTAAGAAATGTCTCAGATCACATGTAATTGTTGGCCGAGGCTTTCTTATTTACTTCCCGTGGAGTGTATACTATTTTTTTGCTCGACGAAGGCAGAAAGGGGCAACTTCGTTTAGCGCAGCGGGCCGAAAGTTGACGCTTTCTGCCCGTCGAGCAAAAAAAATATTTTCAATCCAAAAGTCTACATCTGATTTAAAGTACTTATAATCTTGATCTTAATTAAAGTTCGCGCAATAATTTGGAGACCTGGTAGTGTTTCGCATCAAGTAGACGTTCTAATGCATGCACATAACAAGTTGGCGCTTTTATTTTTTATCAATTAGTTAATTTTATTTAGTAAATAATAATAATTATTGTTAATTCCAGAAATTACGTTTTATTAGAAATAAACTTTTTATAGCCAGCATTATTAAATTTTTTTTTCAGACGGTAATTAATAAATGAACCATTAACCACTATAAATAATAAGAATGTTAATAGTTTTCCTGCTTTCAATATTTTTACGATAAGCATACTTACATTTCTCTTTTTTAATTTACCAATTTCATTTATCCTTTTATCTTAATCTTAAAAGTTTTTTTTCTATACCAACATTGCGCTTAGCTTAAAAAAGGATTTAATGCAAAATGAAGCAAGTGGGTCAGTAGATTACTATTAACAGCAAGTGTATAAGTATGATATATTAAGTTTATGATATTTATTGATGTGATTAAGTTATTGATGATAAGAGTTTGTAATTAACGTATAAAGATTGATCGTAAAGTTTAATTATATTTTATATACGTTTTGAAGAATATAATACTTATACTAGAGAAAACCTTTTGTTTAATAATCGTAAAAGAATTTAAATGTATAAGGTGTATAAATCTCTCCGGTAGATTTCCTAGATTGGAGAAAAAGTAGCAATCGAGCGTGCAATGCATAGCTGCACAAGTTGTTTGTTAAAGAGTTAAAAAAATGGTATATATAATTCAAGTTTGTCCTTTTACCCCAGACTAGTAGACTGGAATTGGAATGTTAACCGCGCACGAAAGTTCACTGACATTACACTCATAAAATGTTTTATTTATAGAAAATCAATTTAGAGAAATGAATATTAACAATTTATATAGCTTTTATTTCTTTTTTTATGGAATTAGATTGTTCCTGCTGATAAAAGCTGTACTATTTTCGTCTGTTGCTTTATTGGCAAATAAAAAATTAAAATATTTGTAATAATTTAACAACTTTATTACTGTATTTGGATTTAGAAAAAGTTTATCGATACTCAATTTAGTTTTTTTATTGATAATACTTTTTGGTTTTACGCTATATAGAGACATTTAGTGAATTCTAAATAAAGAAATGCATCGCTTTTAAGTCTGGAATGAATCATTTTTTCTTGTTAATATTTTTACCGTAAAATGGTCCTCGGTTAGCTGATAAAAATAGCGAATTTGATCACCGAAACTAAAAACCGCAATAATTTTCTACGATATGATTTTTTCATGTGTTAATAAATTATTTTAAACTGATTTATCGAAATACATGATTTATGTAACGACTATTAAATTAATTATGCAAATACTGGTCTTATTAATTTATAACACTTAGTTCGTTAGTAAGGTAACCGTGTTAATTTAAGTTATTTTAATTTTTAAATTTGACTAATTTCGCTCGACAAGCTTCTATATATTTTTGTTCTATATATACAGAGCCAAATTGCTAAATACTCTTGAAGCATTAGGGATAGCAGGAACAGTAAAAGATTGGTTTAGTTCGTACCTTTCAAATCGAAAGCAAAAAGTTCAATATAGAAATACTGTTTCAGATCAGATAGATATAGATGTTGGTGTTCCTCAAGGCTCAAAATTAGGTCCAGTACTGTTTCTATTATATATAAATAATGTAGTTAAATTATTTGATAAAAGCGGTGTTGTATGTCGTTTATTCGCAGATGGTATGGCTTTATATTTTTCTAGTCGACATTATCAAATTATTGAAAGCAAACTTAACAGAGTATTGACTTTATTAAATTCATGGTTAATAGAAATGCAGTTGAAAATTAATATAGAAAAGACCATTTTCATGATAATTCACGATCATAGAATAAAAGATGCGAGAGGGAAATGTAAGATTATGTTAAATGGTGTACAAGTAAAAGAAAAGAAAAAAACTAAGTACTTGGGAATTATGATAGATGATAATCTATCGATGAAAGAGAACGCATTGTATACTATTAATAAAGTCGCAAAGAAAATAAATATATTAGGTCGTTTAGGTAGTAATGTAATACATTATACAAAAATCATTATATATAAAGCAATTATTTCACCACATCTAGAATATTGCAGTACCTTAATGATCAATTATAATCAACACCATTTAGATATTCTACAAAAGCTACAGAACCGTGCAATGCGTTTAATATTAGGAGTTAGTAAATACACTAAAATTAGCTTAATGTTGGAAACCTTGGGATGGATGACGATAAAGCAGAGAATTTTATACAATAGACTAATAATGATTTTCAAAATGATTAATAAACTAACACCTACTTATCT